TAGGCACAATATCTACCCCAGTACCACAAAAATATTGGTAAAATATTATATTTACATATTGGTTCAATGATGGAAACGTCAGATTTTTTTTTATTGGCCCAATGTAGATTTTTAATATTAACCCAATATTGAAATTAAATATTGTTCCACAATGTTAGGAAATAATAAGTGTGCAATATTTATTTTAAAGATACAGCCAATATTTGTTTTCCAGATTGGTACAATATATATATTAATATATAGTCACAATATATCGTGTATACATAGGCACAATACCTATTAGTACTGAAGGATGACCAAGAAAACTAATTGTATAATATATTATGCAATTGGTACAATTCAACACCTCAATTTTGGCCTTATTTTTGCTCCAAGAAGACCAGAGATCGAATCAGAAACTAAACCAAAAGTAAATGGATCTAAAAAAGTTATAAATAATAAAGAACAGAAAACGCAAGGGTCCTCTGCGCGATGAGCCACCAAATAATTTTTCTTTTGTCGTAAAACGTAAATCAATTTCTTGCTTGTTACTGTTCATTATAACAGAAAAGGAATCCGTAATGTCATAATTGAGTCACCTAGTTGACAGTAAGTTCGAGAACTCTGTCTCAGTGAATTGGGCCCGATTAAGAAACATGTTATTGCATTTTTAAGAAAATTTTTATGGAAATGAACATAATTTTACACTTTATTTCAAAACTAACACATTTCAGTCTTTCCGATCGCTGATATTTTATTGAACGTAGAAAATCGAAGTAAAACATTTGAAAATATTTTAACAACATTAAAACATATGCAAAATGATTTCCTTTATTATTACATAAATCCACAATTTGTACGGATTTCCGTAAATTACTCTCTTTCAGATGTTTTCCAAATATTTAATGGCACCTGCTAGTAAACGGTAAGTAAAATGTGTAATTTTTCTTATTCCAACCCTGTCTAAACCTCAGTCTGACTAACTACATACTACGGGGTAAGTCCAACAATGCCGTGCACCCTTTAAGCATAACCTACTTCAGAATGTTATATGTGTATTCTGTAGTGGCTCGGAGTCAAACTGCAGGCCATTGGCAGTGGGTACGCTTGCATGTCTGCATGCACTAAACACCAAGATACCTTTTACGGCCCTCCAACACAACACCGTCAGTCAGAGCCTGTCGGGATTGAGCGAGCGAGGGTCCCTTCTCGCACCTGTTAACAGCACAATAGTTCTAAAATAATTTTGACATGCAAACAAAAACACGCTCCATTAAGCAGCTCCCGATTCAAAAGCACTACATTATTTTTCTATTTCAACTAAGGTCGTTAGTTTTCAAGCGGGTATATAAAAATTACTTACCAAGTGTCTAACGGAAATGAAAACTGAATACTTTTGCTTTTGGGAATAGCTGCTGTTCAGAGACCGTTCTTCGTTTTGCAGGCCATAAAATCCCTGCATACAATTTTTTAGAATGTTTGCAAATTTACAAGGCGGTATGGTGTTTATTTGGTAGTAGACCCTTAGATGCAAGTTAAAGGCCGGTGCTATTCCTTAAGCTTTTTAAAAAAAACACTTTTGAACACTTACTTTCTTTATTATTGATTAATTATTAATGTGTTGAATTTGTTCTTAAATTTGGAGGGTTTTGTTGCTTAAAGGAATAGGAGTTACGCCTTACGGAAAATAGCGATACACCATGTGCGTTAACTATTAACACGATAAGAGACCGACCTAGTCGTTTGAAAGACTTTTTGTAACTCCACGATCGAAGTTATTGATTGTTTAAAGAAAACTTGCATCACTGCTGATTAATTAAAAAGGAACGGATGGCGTGGGTTTGCCAGCCGTCTACTACTGATAAGGCACGCGTTTTATTACAATGTTAGCATTTTTAAAATGGTTAACTCCTCCGCCCTTAAGATCAAATTTTACATTTTGTAAAAAATTAAAATTTGGTTAAAATACATATTAATACAAAAATGAAACAATAATACATAATAATACAATAAATCTATCAGCTACATCTCATTACCCTTTGTAAGTGAAGGAAAGGCAACAGAAGGTTTTCCCAGCCGTTCATTCACTTTGCTGTACACAGCTTCTGGTTGATTTGTTTTATCATTTTTCTTATTTCTTATTAAATATTTGGTAATGTTATGTCGCTTGCAAACAATAAAAATTATGAATAATAATAATACAGTTATTAATATACTAAGAAATACATAGAAATACTTACTGTTGCTATCAACTTTCTCTGTTAGATAGGTTAGAGGGTCATTGGCTTGTAGTGTAATTTCGGAAAGTCTATCCAAACCGATGGATTTTAAGTTTAATTGTATCGGTTTGACTTCCGCAATATTATCAATTATTAAAGGTAAAAATACTGGTTCTTCTTTTAAATTTTGTTTTAAGTTTATATATTTAAAATCTTTT